AGCTCGCATTTCAAAGACTTAAAGACGCGATACAAGTCTGTCCGTCGCTTAAGCCTCTGAACTACAAGTGGGACTCTGAGATTGTCGTCGCAATAGACACATCCTGGATGGCCGCGGGTTTTGAAATCTACCAGCGCGACCCGGATGATCCAAAGAAAGTCTATTACGCGAAATTTGGGAGTATCCCACTTACAGAAAGAGAAGCTAGGTTTTCTCAACCGAAGCGTGAACTTTATGGTGTGAAGCGCGTACTTCAAGCCATGGCTCACTGGCTTCTTGGTTGTAGGAAATTGGTAGTCGAAACCGACGCGCTTTACTTAGCAGGCATGCTAAGGAACGTTGGTAACCTACCAAATGCAAATATCAACCGTTGGGCTGAAGAGATCCTCATGTTTCAATTTACCCTGAAACATGTCAGAGGAATCACCTTCTCACCAGATGGCTTGTCGCGACGACAACCTGCGCCTGGAGATGAAGAGTATCCCAATGACGAAGAGGAAATCTTCGACGAGCCACCACCAGAGAACAACGAGAATTGGGACTACGACACAGAACAACCATTAGACTTTGAAGAGTTCAAAAGGGACATTGACACCAGAGGTGGCTACCTTAACTCTATGGTCGGGTGTGCTGAGTCGGTCGACGACATATCCAAAGAGCTAGTCGAAGCTTGCGACTCTCGTCGCGCTGAGAATCAGCGTGTCAAAGACGCATATGACGCTCAAGGTCTCGTCGTTCCAGTCTTCATGTTGAACAATGTGGCAAACGGAGAACCACTTTTGCCTGATCTTGAACTGCGCAACAATCCTGAGGATCCCTATATTGAGGATCACCGGACGGGCACAGGGATTGAACAAGACAATAAGTTGGTAATGGCTAGGAAGTGGTTGAAAGACACTTCTATAAGGCCTGAAATGACAGACAAACGGTTCAGATCGTTTCTCAAATTCTCGCGACAGTTTTTCCTCAAAGATGGAAAAATGTACAAGAGATCGACCAATGGGATTCATAGACTGGTCGTGGACAAGCACCACAGGACTTATATGATGAAGGCGTGTCACGACGCGCTGGGTCATAAGGGTCTTTTCAGCACGAAGAGCCTGTTGGAAACTCGGTTTTGGTGGCCTGAGATGGAAAGAGACGTCGACTGGTGGATAAAGACTTGTCATAGCTGCCAAGTCCGCCAGAAAACTCTCCTCCGTACTCCACCAACGCCGACAATGACTCCAAGTGTATTTCAGAAGATACATACAGACGTCATGATTATGGGAACGCCTTCCAACGGATACAGATATGTTGTCGCGGCAAGGGATTCCTTGACCCGCTACATGGAAGCGCGACCGCTACAGGCTGACAATGCCAAGGCAATCGCACGTTTCTTACTCGAAGACATAGTGTGTCGCTGGGGGTGTCCTAAGTGGATTGTAACTGATAACGCAGGACAGTTTGTCGCGGCGCTGAATTGGTTACAGAAGAAATATGGTATCAAGGGAATAAGGATATCTCCTTACAATTCCCAAGCAAATGGCACTGTTGAAAGAGGTCACTGGGACATTCGACAGTCACTGTACAAAGCTACAGGGGGAAACGCCTCCAAGTGGTTTTGGTTCTTCCCACAGGTCTTGTGGGCAGATAGAATTACAGTGCGTCGCGGGCTGGGTTGTTCACCATACTTCGCAGTATGTGGGGCCCACCCTACCATCCCTCTGGATATAGTCGAAGCTACATGGCTAGTCGAATATCCTGACCGGATCGTCGACTCTGCGGATCTCATTGGTCTCAGAGCACGCGCTCTAGCGAAACACGCCGACCATATTGAAGACATGCGCAGCCGCGTCAGCGACGCCAAACTAAAAATGGTTCAACGCTACGAACTCGAGTACAAGCATGTGATCAAAGATTACAAGTTTGTACCAGGGGACTTAGTGTTGGTCAGGAACACAGCTATTGAGAAATCATTGGACAACAAGATGAAAGCTAGATATCTTGGGCCCATGATTGTAGTTCGAAAGACCAAAGGGGGTTCTTACTTGGTCTGTGAAATGAACGGTGCGATGTTCCATGCGAAAGTCGCGGCGTTCCGAGTAATACCTTATTTGGCAAGACAGAAGTTGACACTCTCTGAAGATATAAAGAAGCTGATAGATATTTCGCCTGCTAAACTCGATGAGTTGGTGGAGGAAATATCTGACGTCCGCGACTACCAGTTCGAAGGTGTGAAACTCAAGAACTCGGATAGTGACGACGACGACGACCCTGTAGAGGATCCAGCTTCTGTCGAGTGAAAGTCTGGCAAGCGAGTAATTGTCGCGGCAGGCTCTCCACCTTGGACACCCCACTTTTGTACCTCGAGAGGTACCTTTTTGAGGCCCAAAAAAGGTACCTCAGTGGTAGTGGGCGGCCGTGGGCTGGGCGGCAGCCGGGCGCCCCCCAATGCTCTGGGGGGCCCCAGCTACATTTTTGTGGGCGTCCAGCGGGCGTCCTTGGGCGGGCATGTGGGCGGGCCCATGGCTCCTGGGGTCCTTGTAGCGCGCGCAGCGCCAGAAAAATTTCCGTTTTTTGACCTATTTGGGAAGTTAAAGTCAAGTATATATTTGCAATCTATTCAATAATACGGGCGTACAACGTACATAGGAGCTAAATTTATCCTTTGCAGTCTATTCAATAATACGGGTGAGTGTATGCAATAATATTGATTTGACGCACACAAAAATCCTTGTTGCTTTTGTCATGGGATATATAAAATCACCATTGAATGTACATAAGGGCTGTTTGAAACACTTGGAAGACACTCCTGTCAAGAATATATGGGGCCGCTTTCTCATGGGCTTATGAGTGACTTCAATCATATGCATCCACAACATTTTATGCGGTAGATATCATCATATCTGTTTTGATCGAATGTTGATTTCTTCTTATGGACATAAGGTGATTCCCAGCGGACCACCACATGTGACCTGCTCGAAACCCGGGAAAGTGTGGGCCCGCCCATAGAATAACGGGCCCGCCCATAGAATAACGGGCCCGCCCAAATAAACGTGGGGCGCCCACAGAATTACGGGGCCGCCCAAATAAGTATGGGGGCGCCCAGAAAAGTATGGGGCCGCCCACAGACGCCAAGAGAACTATGGGCCCGCCCGCAGACGCCAAGAGAACTATGGGCCCGCCCACGGATGCCAAGAGAACCATGGGCCCGCCCGCAGACGCCAAGAGAACTATGGGCCCGCCCACGGATGCCAAGAGAACTATGGGGCCGCCCACCCGTACACGCGTATTAAAGTGATACCAAATGTTCCCGTGTATCAAACCTTGATTGGCGCACTAGGTCACAAACCTCTTTTGCCCACTTGAGATTCTACGCTACGTTGATGCACAGCAGGGACCCACAAGAGTTTTACATTTGCAAACACGAGTAATTAAAAATGCTCGGGCTGTGCAGCCGTGCAATGAGTGCGTGCCCACCATTTCAGCGATCATTACGGACGATTGGACTCGGTATTATAGACGGTGCAAAGTAAATACGCTTTTCTCTAGTTGTTGACGACGGCCAGCTGATGGATACTCGTATCATAGGACGACTGGCTGGGCTCTTTGTTCATGACACCGTCTCCCTCCACATTGACGTCAACATCACTGCCAACGAAGCCAATATCCGGAGGTAGCAACCCTTTGGGCAAGTCAAGATCTGTAATGTATGAGAACTCGCAGTAAGTTTCCTGATGTAGGCAGATCAACCCACCAGGGAATTGTTGTACGAGGCGCTCGAGCTTGTCTAACACCTGCCACAGTAGATGAAATTTGACCTTGTCTGAATGCTCCCTAAGCCTTCTGAGCACGTCGATCACTTTGCGGCACTCCGCTTCGTGGTAGTTACGGCGGCGAATCTCTTCCTGAGTACTGTAAGCTGGATCCCGAAAGTCTTGGGGCCCCAGATCTTTGCGAAACGATTCCTTGTACCATAACATCATTAGATCATGGATGGCGATGCGTAGGTCCGCGCGCGAGATGGGTAGGTAGAATACGTCAGGAAAGCTTTCGTCTTTTATCACTCGGTTCCTCGCTAGACAAGGATCCAAATTAGCATGCCACTTGGTCTATGAGACGGCGGCAACATACTCGCGTGCAGGGGGCAGTTGCTGTTTGAGAGATCGATGGCGCCGTCTATTGCACATTGGCACTGGAATGAGGTGCTCAGCGTGGAATCTTCAATTATAGACTAATCATTCCGCAGACCTTACTGATGTGCTTGTCCCCTTGAAGTTCCGCCTCATCACAGCCTTTACAAAGACTCGATGATGATTCGAAGGAATCACCCACGACCCGATACTCTGCCCCATACCATCTCGGAATACGCAGGCGGCATTGAACACAATTCATCCAAAGGTGCCTAGGTGAGAAGGTGCGATACTGCGCCATGGAGATAAGTTGATACTGCTGGACCGAGCAGCCCTGAATCTCTCTACGACGTTCGCAACCATCAGCGACGAGCTGGACATGGACCCGCAGCTTTCGTGGGCGATCGGCCAGCACTGTGTTTCGTGGTGTCGTCGTTTTGACGAAACCGAGGGCATTTCGCCCTCCCGCGATGCGGGTAGAGGATCTTGCTTTGGTCGGCGACGTGGGGGCTCGCATAACGGAGGCTCGGGCACAGTGAGGGAGGGTGAAGACATTTGACCAGCTTTGCGACAAGTTTTATGACTGCTGAAAAAGTACGTCAATCTCGATTCAACTGACGCGGATGTACATCACCAAGCGGCCGATTTCACATATTCCATGACCCCAAGGAGATAGCCAATGGTTACCTCAGACATGTTTAGTTCTGTGGGTTCATAGATTAGCCTAGACACGTGCTCTGCATAAGTAATATACAAAGGGGATATACAGGCGACGCAAAATGCACATGGCCATATGGATGATCCGATTCGTAGTGCAAAAAGGGGATAGTTTGTAGTTCCGTAAGGAGCATGTGTCTAAAGTCATTCGCGATTATCCATATGTGCTTAGATACCATGAAGCTCTCGCCAATCACCGGCACGCTCGAAAGCGTCCAATTCGTCGTAGGGAAAGTACTCCGTGTCAGTCCCAGAGTCGCTGTCTGATGCGCTGTCCTCTTGATGTGATGACCAATCACTCTCCTTCCAGCTGCCAACCGTTGTTCGGGCAAACATATCATCGATGCGGACTTGAAGAAGATCTTCATTGGACGGGCCCCATGCTGGTAACCCGACTGTGGGATACGGCACCTGACGTAGTGGTTTCTCCCATGCGGCAGTCAATTTCGTCAATTCGGACTTGCGAAGCTCGAACTGATAGACAATCCCGGCTTCACCTGTAAAGAGATAAGGTCAAACGGAGTGAAGCACAGTCTGAAGCCGACTAGCATGTACCGTCTTCTGCAGCCAACTTGATTCCGCGTGTCAGCACTTCCCATTCCTCGGCCATCCACCAGCGCAAAGCGCGACACTCATGGAACAAGCGCGGCTCCTCCTCGTTACAGCGGTCCTGCTCCAGCATGGCCTGGATTCCCTGACGAACTGCGTCACTTTTCATCCATAGTGGCGGCTCCGTGTCTTCATCTGCGTCCGTTAGGCCAACGTCAAGCCAGATTTCGGCATCAACATCCAAGCCCCATATGTCCTTCTCAACGATTTGTCTAGGTGCAATTGCATTGCGTGGGGCACGACCGAGACGAATGAGCTCCTGCAACTCCGTGCAAAGTCTATTGTACAACCGGCATACATCTTTGATGCTTCGGTCACGGCGTCGCACGGCGTCCTCGATGTGAGTCGTCATTTTGGCATCTCAAGCGATTTCAGAGCTTTGCCGTGGGCCCACAAAGAGATACGTACCTGCTTTGTTTCGATGGAAGTGCCGCTCCACTCTGTCAAGCTCGAACTTCCTCTGGCGCAAGCGATTGCGCAACTTTGTTTTTGCGGCGGCGGCATTGGTGCGTGCCTGAATGTACTTGCTCTTCACTAGCTTGGATAAGTTTGCCTTGTCTTCGACGCCCATGATTGCCTTCTGCTTGCGAACTGATTCCGCAAGTTTCAGGAGCTTTGCGTCGGCTTTTGCGTACTCCTGGACAGCGAAGTCAACATATACCGGATCGGCGTCCTCCTTGTAGATGGCGTCATTCCACTGCGACATTTGGTTCTTCAGCATATCCATTGCCGCCGTCTTCCGTAGTACATCTTGTATGGCGATTTTCCCCGCATGCTTCGATTGACCTGCAATTATGATGAGATTAGACACGGGGAGCGATCGACACGTACGAGGTAATGGCTGGGATAACGTTGCCACCTGTTTGGTGTGCTCTGCGCGAAGAACTGATACAGAGTGCGGGCATTCAGCCAGAACAGCAATTGCGTGCTGTCTGTGGCGACAGCAATCAGTGTAGCCTCGGGCTAGCCAGCTCCCTAATCTGAATAAGTTGCCCTTGTGCATGTGTACAATCTGCGCATCCAGCGTGTAGCGGCGCTTATGATACTGAATATAGATCAGCTAGCATCAACCGATGGAGGGGCAAACACGTACACCACACACACGAAGAAATGAGACGAGATGGCTGAGGGAGTGCCAAAACCGTTCTAGACCCTCCCCATCTGAATAACCGAAAAGAGTGCGGCGTCTTGGGTGATACACTGCTTGGCACGCAGCTCCATGACCGTACGAATGCAGGACGGAAACGGCCCACTCCAGTCTGGCCATGTATTCTGGAGGCAAGAACTCGTATTTGACTGCAGATCGCTGTAACTGGCAGGCAATGTCGTACAGGAAGCCAACGGCAAAATCAGTCGGCAGGTGCTGGAACAGAGCTTCAAGTAGTGCAAACATGTAGAACTGCCGCTCACCGGGCGTCTTAATGTTTGCTAGAAAAAGCAGGTTATCGTGACGACACGACAAGCCCATCAGTCCTTTATCATCAAAGAAATGGGAACTGGTCTTCGCTCTGGTCTCATCTGCTGCAGCAAAGGACCTTTCACACTCATTAAGCACAGATCGAGGCAGTGGGATGCTTGGTGCTTCGATCACATTGTCATCATCCACTTCTGATGTCGGTGCAGCAGCTGTGTCCGGGGCGGAACGAGGAGGACGTATTCCTTCGACCCAGTCAGCCATCTTCTGCGTCGCTTGGTCGGACAAGAAAGACGACTTGGGATGCATGCGCTCCGGATCTCGACAGCCTCGGTCCTTGTTCCGTTTCTGCGTGAAGCATGCGTCTCCGCAAACAATGCAATCAAGAGCTACCCGCATGTCCTCCCATTTGCCGCCGAAGCAGGCGGGACATCGGCTCCGGAGGTATTCACTTGGTCGCGGGCGATCCTCGGGCGATGTGAATGGATAGGTGTGACGTGATGACTCGGCCACAGGCGATGACGGCTCGGGAGAAGATGCTGGTGGGGCACTAGGCGATGAATGCAGCGAATGTTTTACCGGAGATGACGAAGACGGCAACGAGGATCGCGTCGGAGATGATGGTTGCGCTGCTCGAGCGCGTTTAGTTGGAGAAGACGGCGGAGAGGAGTCCCATTCCCTGCGGCCTCTCTTGCGCGGAGATTCCTGCACAGAGGTTCGTGCGATCACCGGACCTGGTGTGGTTGGGCGTTCATGGTTGTCGTCCTCATTCTGGATCCTCTGCCGCACAGTGGCGAGGATGTTGTCAATGGCCTGATCTGTGCTATGGCGCAGCATAACATAGTACTCTAATGCATTGCCAAATTGGCGTCGAAGGGATTCCTACGAGGAAAGCGTCAGCACCGGCTCACAAGCAGCGAGATGACGTCCTTACACGGTTGGGCAGCTTGTAGCCTAGCCTGTCGAGGCACTGTTCAATCGTTTTTGTCAGTGCACGGTTGTTGGGTGCCTGGTTAAGGAACAGATCCTGCGCAAAGTCTAGCACTCGCATGTCCACGCCCAGGTGCGGTTCCACGGGCGAGCTTGGAAAGAAGCCACGGGCAACGAGCTGCTGCGTTCCTGGGCGACAGGCACAGTGCTGCAGTGAAATTCTGTCTAGATCTGCAACTATTCAGCAGAGACGATGGATGGGCACACAAGTACCTACCGTGCCAACGAAGCAGGTAGACCCGGATCTCTTTCTGTTTTCCGCAAACGCATGAAGCCATATACGGGGTTGCACGATCGAGGTGACGCAGACGCTCCGTTCGAAGCATGAGATCCACGTAGCCAGGAAGTAGGGCGGGAATGGTTTCCGTGACCCAGCGCGTAGTCTGCTTCTCTCGGGCCACAGAGTGCGCCGTCGGGGCGGCCACCGCATCGGAGTGCACAGGTGTTATGTAGTTAGCTTCGTCGTCAACTCCATCGTTGGCACGCAGCGACTCCCAGCCCTCTAGATTCTCCAGGCGGGAGGTGTTCAACGCAAACCCGACCTGACCAGGTGGGGCTCTGACGTAGTCTTGATACAATGTTACACCGTCGGCGCAGTAAACGGGAGGTGGACGCCAAGCGCCTTGTCGCTGTGGCGGTCGTACACTGCTGAGCGCAAACGCCTGGGCTTTGACGGGGCTCTTCGACGAGTGGCGCGGGTTGGGCATTGCTAGAGTAATGCAGAGACAGGTAGGTCAATCAGCAAGCGTGTATGCTGCACAGCGAAAGCGCTCACCGAGATGGAAGACGGGCCTGCCACTGAGGTGGGGGATGGACCGGCAGATGTTCCAGCAGACGTCTACGGTATTCAGTGAGCTTTAAGTAGGCCGGCTTTATTATTTCTAGCTCACTGGTCCTCAATTCGGACTCTATTAATTCTATGTACTAACACTACTCGTGGGACATGAGTCCATGGGCGTTGGGAGCAAGATGCGATTCGGCACTGCCACCAACAATTGATGATTGTGGCCACGACTGATGGTTGGCGGTTCGGCACAGAAATCATGCCGGTCGTCCAACCATCAGCCATACACAACGCCAAGCACTCCGATCAGCGATCGGGATTTCGTTTCTTGCTCTTGAATCTCATGCCCCGTAAGTCAAGCTCGTCGTGTACCATAGTAGAGCATGTACATAGTCTGTATTCAGTGTTGGGCTCAAGGCCCTATAAGTCAGACCAATCAAAGCCAATGAAGCGCCAGAATACGAAGGTCTACAGGCACAGATGAATCCATGCGTAAGTACTAACCAGCGCTTCTCAGGCTCGCTAAGCCCCACTGCTAGCTTCATCGACTGTCTTCCGGACGCTGCGTACTCAACCGCTAGCCCTGCGCATCGCCAAACGTCTAATCCGGGGACGGTGGGTTCCAAGTTGCCTGGCAGCTATGATATTGAATTGCCCTTAGCCTCGCCCTGAAGGTTCCATGTCTGGCGCACACTCGACGCGGAGAACACCAAGCGGATTGTTCAGCCCCATTCCGGGTCGGCTGCAGACTCCGCTATTCCTCCCTGCCACGGTACGTGTATCCAATCGCCTTTGGGCTACCCGGTCTCAATACCATGCGCACAGCCCTCTCCTCCGCCATCTCCTACCCTGCGTCCAGAGACACCGTCGCGATCATTGTGGGAGGCACCTCTGCCTGGCAGCATCGTCCAGGAGCAGTCGCGTCTTGCTGCGCCCCTTGTCCTACCGACCCCCGATGTCCCCAAGCCACAAGATTCCGCAGATGATGGTCTGGATGATGAGGTGCGAAAGAGTGGGCATCTTGCGGCAAGCTGCGTTGTGGACGAAGAAGAGGTCGAGTCACGGTGGCACGAATCTGCGATTGAGAGTCACTTGCTAGTGGAAGGATTGCTCTTTGGCCGACCAAATGAAAGTATACTCGGCGGTGGCGAAGTGCCTTCGGTACGGGCCTTGTTATGCTCACAATCCCATGGTCACTAATCACTCAAGCAGCCCACTGAACACGTTGTCGATGTACCGGAACCAGTTGGCGATGCACCGCAACCATTAGTTCTCGGGAGATCGAATCCCATTCGCACCGGATTTGTGGAGGTAGAATCGGTGCGATATGATCGACTGACAGAGATGTATGTAGCTTATTACGTTCCAGAGCATCTCTAGTGTGAGGAGCGACTCAAATCGCTCGAAGAAACGGCGTGTCGAATCAGAGCCTGCCCGCAGGAGGCAAGAAGTCCTGAAGTTCCTGAGCCTCGAAGCCGATGAGACGGAGGAAGAGGGAGACCTGGAAGACGTCAACGATGACAATGTCGAGGACTGGCTCGTTGCTGATGACACCGAAGAAGATCCAGAATCTCGTGACAGCGTCTACGACGAGCGTCCGCACTCGGAGCTGGGCAGTCCTGAGGATACCCAGACTTCGGCGTCATCCGAGCACGAGTTGCTTGAGCAATGGGCAGCCCGGTACTCCCGTACGAAACGTGCGGAGATTGCCTCGAGGGACGTTGATTTGCACGACTCTGGTCCGACCGATGAGGACATGGACCACGCGGAACACCTGTATCGCTTGCCAGACGACACGCTCGACCCCCCGATGTATCCAATTCTTGTTCGGCCAGGCTTAGAGCCTGACTTGACCCGATTCCTCAGCCACTACGACTTCCTCGACTCCGTGTTTTATCCTCGCAAGTTTGGAGGTTTCGTCTACGTTGAAACCCGCCGCCGTGCTTGGCTCGCCAAAGCGCTTGATCGTTGGCAGCACTCAAAGCCCAATATGATCAAGTCGCCAGTGCGCGGGGGGGACAAGCGTCGCCTCCTGTCGTTATCCAAAGGATGGGAGCACATTGGCGTGCTTGTCCGACTGGATGAAGGATTATTTGCAGGAGATTTGGCTTACACCTGCTGGGCTATCCACGAGAACATCTACTGCTTGGTTGTTCCTCGCATTCGTGGGCCAGGCCAGAAGAGCAGACCAGACCCCGCCCTCTTCAGCAAGCAACGCGTGCAGGACATGCATCCCGCCGCAAAAATCGATTACGATGCTGTCGACAATCTCTGGGTGTGGAGAAACCGCCGCTTCACTGCGGCTGGACTCGAAGTGGTTAAAGGAAAGGACTTCGGTTTCCGCGAACAGGCGCCACTGCCCACGCCAGATGAGCTCGACTTGTTCCGTGCCGCGCATGAGGACCTGCTCCATGTCCCTTCTCATGTCCCGCCCAAGACTGGGCTGCAGGTGGGGGACCTCGTTGTAGTCGACGACGACAGATCCCGATTCAATTGCCGCACTGGAATCCTGGTCTGTATCGCTTCCCACGACGCATTCGAGTCTGCCCTTGGCGCGGTATTCACAGACTACAACGGCACCGACGCTGTCTCGGCGCGATCCATGAGGCGCAAGGAGTCGTTTGTTGTGCCGATGGCCTCCCTGTATCGACATGTCCTCTGCCCGCCTCGGTCGATCAGTGACCACTCTCGAATCAAGGTGTTTGGGCGATCGCCATTTCATTCGGCTTCAGGTCGAGTAATGGGGTTGGACGCGTCATCAGAAACCGTCGACTTCCATGGCGTCAAGCCCAATGGAGAGCTCTGCCGAGGCACGGTCAAACGATCAGAGTGCATCACTGAGTTTCGAGCGGGAGATGTAGTCCAAGTCATAACAGGGCCTCAACAAGGCGTTATCGGATTTATTGTCGCAGTCAACATGGGTGGGTCCGTGGATATCTACCCAGTGAGTCTGCCTGCGAAGTTTATATGTTTGATACTCAGTCGAAATAAACAGTGTGAGATTGGGGATATCCAGAAGCGTATCGACGGGACATTTGTGAGAGACGATCGAAAGGTAATTATAGTTAACTGGCATATTGAAAATCTACATACTGACTACTTGCAGTTGAACAACGTGGCCTACGCATCGCGAGAGGATCTGGTTGTAAGTGCTTGCCGTGGCAAACTGTCAATAGCCTGTGCTTGAACATCAGTGCAGATTCGAGTCCCAGATTGGAAAATCACGCTCCTTCCACCAGACACCACCGGATACCAACGAGTACGTGGCCATGGCTGGCAAGCCATGGAGGTCGATCCAGAGTACATTAGCTTCGCTCTCGAGAAGGACCAGAGGCAAGCCAAGATCGAGCAAGACTTGTTCCACATGGGGCGGGGCTACACCGGTCAACGCGTCATGATCGTTGGTCAACACATCCAGAAGGGGCTAGTCGGTGTGATTGCTGGCTACAAACATATCCAGCGCTCGAAACGACCAACCCTTAAGCCAGAATCTAAGCTTGAGCGGAATGTGGAGTTGATCATTTACCTCGACGGGGGAGCAACGGCTATCGCGCGCTTGGATCAGGTTGTCCACCCTGAGTGAGTGCTTTGCTGTTGCTGAGACTGGAATGCTATTAACACATGCGCATTGTCTTAGAGTCTTACTACCTTTGCGACAGGCCATGTTCTTCGGTGACCTATCCGAACTCATCAAGGCAATGCACCGCCCGTCTACTCCACCACCAGGTCTCGACGCGGCGACGCAGGAGCCTATCTCTGAACTAGGTCAGTCCGTGATCCCTGACCAGCACCAGAGCACTCACCGCCAGCGTTAGATGTCTTTGCTGCCGATAACTTGTGGTTGGCGAACCCTGCCTTCCAAGGGAAGCGAATCGACGTGAAGGTCAAGTCCGTTGCAGCACTTGAGAGTGCAAAAAACGCTGCTAAGATAAATGGGCGCGGGAAGGGTCGCTACTTCCTGTCTTTTAATCGCAAGACGTTTGAGCATGCGGAGAAGACCGGCATTGTCATGCCCTCACAGAAGATGAACTGGTCCCGGCATGCGTTCATGCTGAAATTTGTGCAGATTCGGCTGGGTGGATTTACCGACGCGCTTGTCCCGGCAGAATGTCTCGAGCCAGTCAGAACGCTTACCGATGGACGTTGTATCAGTGCTGCACGTGGACGGGTCATTATCATCGGTCACGATTGCGCCAAATCTGACGCAGACATCGGGAAATACGCCGAAGTCCAGCCCCAATCGTTCGATCCGTCGAGGGTGGTGGTGCAGTTTGCGGAGCCCCGTCCAGATGCGCAATGGGTATGGGCAAACAGGACAAACACTTTCCCGCTTGGATCACTCTGTCGGGCTATCAACGAGACAGTGGGAACTCTTGGGCTGCTCTGCACCAATTTTGAGATCGGAGTTGTCAGCGAATCCCCGACGGCCGCAGTGCCCACGTGAAGCCCAGTGTATCAAATTAGATTATTCACATGTATTCTCGGTGGCTATTTAGCCCGCACATCTTATCGTGTCCGAAGGAATGAAGAAGAAACGGATCCAATGTAGCGATTGTAAGCCATGCGGGTCGGATCATTACTCCACTGATTGCCTTGATATCGACCATCAAGGAGGCATGACATAGCGACAGCGTCACATCTTGTGACTAAACTGCCTTTCCGTCCACGCCCATGTCGTTCGTTTGGTGCATCCAACCAGACGAGGGTCATGGGCAAAGGACAATATTAGCGAGTAGTGTACATCGTATTTCTGAGTTCCCTGTGTGAATCTCCCTCATAAATCACTCCAACACTCAAGGCCGGGTTGACATGGGCACTGGCCGCAAGAGCGGGCGTGCGCGCCCGGAGAAGCCAAAAATGGAGTCATGCGTGAGCCATGCGACCATCGGAAGTCCGCTCGATAGCTTCTGACCCTCTGAGATG